AGTGCTGTAAACGTAAACAATTTACCCGTAACGACAAGTCAACGGTAATACCAAAACTTCCAAAATTAAAACCCCATACTTTAGTCCCCAGTCCCACACGGTCAACTCGAATGTCATTTATAACGAATGACATTTGAAAGATCGGCCAATCGATCAGCGCGCTACACTCCGAGCGTGGGGCGTGTTCCTCGCGCGACAGATCGCGAGCCGATTCGTCGATCACACGAATGTCATTCGTTCTAAATGGCATTCGAGTTGCCCGTGTGGCACGGTCACGGACGTCCAAATTCTGTTTGGTGTTCTTTGAAGTAAACACGTTTTATTTTGGATGCCGCCGACTGCATTTTGACACGTCGGTCGGTCGGCGAGTGTGTGCTCGCGGTCGGGTGCTCGGCGGCGTGGCGGTGTACTCGCTGGTGCGTGTCGACGTGCCGCCTGTTGCCGACATCCAGAAAGTTTCCCAATTTCGTTCGCCCGATGCGGTCGGTCACTCCTGTTGCAAAACAAGATTCGTAGTGACTACAGTGCCGTCCGACGGCACTTTTGCAAAGCGTTCAAGTGCCGACCGACGGTACTCCACTCCACTGACGGCACTCTTATACAAAATAAATTGTCACAAAAAAGAAGCAGCTTCAAATTGTGTAGCGTAGCTTAGCGGTTAAGATGTCTGATTCATACGCAAGTGGTCGTGAGATCGAACCCCAGTAGGCAGTTACTTTTTTTGTTTTTCTTCGCACATTTTGTTTTGCCATTTGGCGGTATTCGCGACAATAATTTTTTTACGAACAACACTGAAAGAAAAAAAAAGAATGTTGTCGACGACAGTGCTAAAAGCGCGAGCTATAGTTGCTTTGGATCACGCGGCACGAGCGCTCCTGCAGCGGGCACGTCAGGGCTGCTCGCTCGCAGCTTGCACGGCCTTCGCAGCTGTTCTATGCAAGGGTCCGTCGCATTACACACAGGTACAGCTCCAAAAAAATGCGTACAAAATTATTGCGGCTGGACTCTGTCGCTTCCGGTACACGTAATCTTCATTTGCAGCAAGAGTTACGGACGGCACCGGGCGAAGTTTGAAAGTGGAGAATCGCTTATTTTGATGTTCCTGAGAACGCGACGAGTACAGGCGGCAACGTCGACAACACGCACCAGCACGGACACCGCCGAGCCGCCGAGGACCCGGCCACACACACACACCGGGCGACCGACATTTCAAAATGCCGCCAGCGGCATCCAAAGAAAACGTGCCGTTAATTTTTTATTCAATTTTATTGCGCCTACGCGTAAATTCACCACTTGCATCCTCCAGAGTATTTTATATTGGGAACAGCAGCCATGCAAGCAGCTAGCAGAAAAAATGCACAAAAAATAAATATTATGTGAAGGAGGATGAAGTAATAATTAAATGCATTTGGTAGTCAGATGTGAGTATTCCTTTTCTTTGCTAGCTTTCCGTCAATTGTTCAGCTGACCGTTCACAATCAAAAGTATTATTTCAATACGCAAACAAAAAATTACAGGGGCACACAATAAAACTCCAAACAAAATAGACTCGTCCATGAGAGGAAGCGAAAACCCACTACCTGAAGCGCTAGAAGCCGACACGTTATTTGTACTATCACAGCACCCGTGTGAATGTTGCGGTGCTTAAAACTCGGGACGGAGACCCGATCGCCCCCCCCCCCCCCCCCCCCCGTACGTAGCCTCTGCCTCGTTCACGTGCACCGATATCCTGTACAACTCCCATACGCACAATCGCTTTCTCCTTGTTATTTTCACAAACGTACCGAAAGACAGGCAGTCTGCAGCAATGCCACAGCCAAGACTCTCCATTCCCACCACATCTATACTTTGTTCACCCCTAAGCTGACAGGGGATTGGAGGCTGCATCCTTGCCGGCCAACCAATTTCCGGTCTTTTATTGCCCGACTTCACTTTCTGTGCACAGTTCGCAGAGATTGTGATCACGTGGTGCAAGGCCCATGTTTTACTGGTCCAACAAGCATGTTTCTTCTACCGCCCTGTCACCTTATGGGTGAACAAGGCCTAGTGCACACACAACATAATTGCAAAAAAAAGCCCGACTCCTCAGCTCGCATTTCACAGAGTCCAAAGGACTCTCTGTGAAGTGCGAGTTGAGGAGTCGGGCTTCTCCAGCCGTCTTGCTCTCCTAATGTTGGTGACCCTGCTGCAGAAACTCGATAAAAACGAACGGCATTGGCAAAAGGGCGTACGACACATTGACTAGGATTGTACCACCTACAAAGCATGGCGAGGAGATTCTCTTCACAACATCCCTGAGAAATATCGCCCAGCATCGTTCATGGATTTGGTTGTGTTCTCTCACACAGCTGAACCGAACGACCAAATTACTTCTGACTACTCTGTTTGTAGTAGGCAGTATTTGTCCTGACATGGGACGGATCTGGCTAGCTACTGAGACTGTAGGGAGGAGAACTGAGATATGACTTGGACAGCAAAACCAGGCTGCGATGGCGGCAGCATTGACGCTACCGAAAACAGCTGGTGGCCCCTGCTCTTCTGTAAGTAGCACTATAGTGCTATTCGCTGAACAGCAGTAGCGCTGCAGTCAAATGAAGTTATGCTGGCCAGAGCACCCCAAATCTCCACTGAATCATTGCACATTATGTTTGTCATTTTGATCCCATGCCTTTTCGTGTAACAAAAGTGGAGACAGGGCATTTTATAAAATTTGTGCTAGTGCAGCAAAGACGAGGACGAAGGGAGGACAGGACACGAATGAGGCGCAACATCCAACTGATTTTTATTGAAATGTATGTTCCGGTATTTGTACCATCGTCACAAAACAACAATTACAGAGCACGCGTAAGGAACAGCATTATCTCGCTCTCAGGAAAGCAAGTTCCTTCTCAGAAAGCGCTGTAGCGACGCATGCATCGCCTAAGTAATCGATGCGTTCGGCTTCTACAATCTCACGTGTTATCGTAGCCTTGCTTTTTCCAATTTTAACGCACTAATCCAACATTGGGGGACAACCACATGCCCTGCAGTGTATATCAAGAAAGCCACTTTGTTTTTGCACATTGTCACAGCGTTCGTGAAGCCAGTCATTGATGCAGCACCCCATCTGCTCGACGTAATACTTGCCACAGGACAGGAGAATGCAAGACACCACGCAATCTGTGCAGTCGACATTTTTGTTCGGTGCTTCTTTTTGCATCCGTGTTTGGCAGGCACGTCAGGCTTTGTTAGTTTGCATAGGTTCTTGAGCTTATTGGGCGTGGAAAACACTTACCTTCTGTGTTTGACCACATTGCTATTTTCTTCAAATTGTGCGACATTCGGTGAATATACAGTATCACAAAAACTTTTTCTTTCTGTCTAACCTGCTGGCTCCTACTGTTCTCTTTGAGACGGTGCTTTCCCAGAAGGCACTCAGCAACTGCAACACGAATGTGCTCAGGGGACCTAGCTGCAGCCATCCACACTACTTGCTGCTCAAAACCGACAGAGGTCAAATGCTCACAGGACTTTTTTAGTGCACGAGTGTTTCTGAGGTTGGCTACACGGTTATGTGTGTAAGACCGCACCAAAACACATTTTTTACATTCTCCCATAATTTTTGAACAAATTATCCACTACGCAACATGTAAATTTATGCTAGTATGTGTAAATAACGTGTATTTCACCCCAAAATATTCGCCAAACACACGGGACTTGCTAACAGTGTACCTTCATGGCAAATTGCACTGTCGGAGCGCACGCGAGTGATTTTTGAGATTTATTTAAAGTGGGTTAGATCCATTTGGCCAATGCTGTAGCAGGAGAAAAAGGCTTAGACGGATTTCGTCCATAGACATAACCGATTAGCTTTTGCCTGTTTTGCTCCGTGCAACGACATAATTGCTAGCTTCATACTGACCTCATGAACACAACAGACAGAGAATCACGATCAGTAAATCCTAAAGTGGACTTTCTTATCATCGTTCTACATTAAGTAGGCTTCCCTCCAGAAGAAATATTAGAAAGACTCAATAATGTGCTTAAACTTCTATCGAAGTGGTAAAACCCCTGTGGCTGTTCGACAGGAAATATTTGGGCAACACGAAAAATGTCAAAATTTACAAAAAATGATTTCGGAGTTGCTCGCGGCCGTTTGATTGATTGACAGCACCATGGTGCTGTCAATTCTTTTTCTCGGGTTTTGGAGACAGTGTAACACTATTGAAGATGCCACAAAAAAGGGTGCTAGAAAGAATTAAGTAAGCAAAAAAATTTGACTTGATAGCACCTAGAAGAGCTTCCAATATCTCCATAAAACCTTCATATCACAAAGAAAAAAAAGCAAGACATTGGTGGCATAGAGGGCACTAAATGCAAGGTGCCATCTCCAGATAAGACATTTTATTGCCCAAAAAAGGGACGTTTTGCATTGTTTTCCATTTGAAAAAGTGTAGACATCAGAGAGAGAAGGCGCAGCAAGCTGCATGGGAGCATGCAGAGCAACCCTATCTATCTCGACGAAAACCTTCAACAGCGGTTGAAGCTCCCAACACATCTAGAGTGGAAGCCCACGTAACAAGTAACAACCTGCACGAGTGTTTGTAAAAAAAGGTTACGTATGAAAGAAACGTTCCGCCGCAGCTAGCACTTTCCAAACGTCTGCATGGACACCGTACACAAAGTATGAGCCACTTCGCAGCCTGCATGAGCGGAGCAAATGTTCTAGACGAAAGAAACAATACACTGCAGCTAGCACTTTCCAGACCTCTGCACGGACACCACAGGCAAAGTATGAACCAGATAACAACCTACACAAGTGAAGAAAAAGTCGTAGGCGAAGGCAACATCCCGCCACAGCAAGGGCTCTTCAAGCGTCTGCAAGGACACTGCACACAACACACAGCAAATCACACAATAGTTTGCAGAGCAAAATTTTGCCACGAGGAAAACTTAACCTTGTTCTTGGCACATGAATATTCTAGAAAACGTCCCGGTCACCCAGTGGCTTCACCTAAATATCAGTTCAGGTGAAGAAGCGGTAATATGACATGTCCTCCCTTGTACTTGAGCATCACGCATTGTACTCCCTCCAGGATATCCGAAAGAGGCCAGACCTTGGTCCCCTGTCTAAAGGTATCACACCTCCAGACGCCAAGCTCCGATGACTTCATGGGAACCTTGAAGAAGTCTCTTACATTTGGCAAGATGCCTCCCTTGAAACTGTCTTGAAGGATCTCAAGGACGACAACAGGTGACTTGTTCAGCATGAAGACGTCCCCTGGCTTGACAGACTTCTGCACTTCTTTCGTTAGCATGTGGGAAACGTCTCGGACTTCAGACAACCTCCTGCTAAGCTGTGCAAGTGGCTCACGGGGGGATCGAAGCTTCTTCTTTATCTTCCCCAGGTAGCTTTCGAATGGGAAAGCACTAAACTCATCTAGAGGGCCATGATCCAGGCACTGGTCGGCAAGGTGGATGAGGCTGTGAACATTATAAACAAGCTGTTTCTCTCCGTAAAGACCACCAAACTCTTGTACGAAGTATCTGAGCAAGTCCCGGGCAAATCGGTTGTAGGTTGTGTGGTGTTCTGGTGATGTAAGTATTTTCACTGCCACATGGAACATCAGGAAATGCTCATACTGCTTATTTGTCAGCAAAGACCTCAGAAGCACTGGCCCTACATAGAGCAGAAAGGTCCTAAACTCAGTTGCCTTCCAGCGGTCCAGTTCTTCTGTGCCTCTCGGCTTCCTCTGGAAACACGATGGAAAGGACATGGCTGACTGTCGCAGTCCTTCGTTGAGGCGGTTTCGTTGCTCTCTGCTCAACCTCGTCTTGTGTCGCTGGCAGACCCAATTGCGGAGAAGTCGGCGCATGACGCCTAAGCATATGAGGTGCATATACTCCGTCGGGAATAGTGACACCATGTCTACATTGAGCGTCAAAAACGGAGACAGGCCAGTGTGGTGGTGCTCATCGTCCTGGGCCCGGAATGATACGTTTGTTCGCTCTGGTGCATACAAGTCTGGAAATGTCACCCGTCAATCAGTGTGTTGGCCTTTCTGGATGCACCGTTCACAAGCATGGTAGCCTGTATGTCCAATTACGGCTTTGACAAAACATCGGGCAGGAGCATCGCACACCATCGCTGTTAGACTGACGTCAACGTGGATGCCCTTGATCACCATCCCATTAGAGGTGAGGTGAGAGACTTCTTCTAGGAACGGATGAAGGTAGTCTTGGAGGCTCGGCGGCTTCCCTTTGCCACAGTAGACACTCACCATAAATGGTGCAGACGCCTTGCTGTTTGTTATGCGGCACAATATTGGCCAGAGGCCAACCTGGCTACTTTTGGATAACGGCAGCCCATCAATGTTGCCGTGGAGCTTCAGCTCGCGTGGAACAGGTGCGGTCCCCAAAGCTTGACGTATGCCTACCTCGAGGCCAAAGTGCGCAAAGGAACGATCGCTATCTAGCTTCGCTTTGCGTTCGGTCCGCATAACTGTGCGGGCATCTTTTGGAAGGTCGGGAATTCCTCGGCGACGGCAAAAATCTAGTACCTCGTTTATGTTGGCGTGGGTCATGTTGTGCCTGCCGGCGATCAAGGCGAACTCCTCGCTTGCAGAAAGTTCTTGCTCTGGAGGTCTATCATTGCAAGGTCCAGCGAAATAAGAACATCTTCCCTCTTGGTCCGAGTCTCCGGAGGACTGAGTGGAGGTGTCTGAGGAGTCAGTGGTCGAGCGCTGCTCCCCGTCTTCATTTGTCTCGCTCTCTCCAGAGCTCTCGTCACTTGACATGGCCTGCGCAGTTTCATTGTTGCTACCTGGGTCGTTCTCCGTAGGCTGTTCCGAGGTGCCTTCGTCACAATCAACAATGCCTGAAAAAGTGGCTGGTCCGCTGCCACTGGCGCAAGCGTCGTTCGTGAAGGTATCAATTCGTGGTCTTTTGTTGCTCGGGCACTTCGGTGGCGGAAGTGGAGGCACGGTTTGTTGCGAGACGCCAAGCTCCGCAAGGATCTCGTCGTACTCCTTCTTGACGGTTCGATATTTTTTATATTTCGAGAACATACCGAAAGACGTGAAGCAGAGATTAAGTAAGAAAATTAACCCTACGGCAGATACAACGGAGCGGGCATACGGATGGTTCAGCGCAGGCGGTGGACTTTAGCGCAACAGATTAGCAGACGCTGGATTGTGGATTGGATTCGGATCTGTAATGAAACTGACTGTATATGTTAAAAAAAAGAAAAACGAAAACGATTTTATTTTACATTTTTGGAAGCCGGAGGCGGCGGACGAAAAAGGGAATAACGCACGGGACGTCTCAAACGCAGCTACTAACTTTATTGGCACAGTCCTTTCTATACCACTCTCCCGCACGCCAACCCAGAACGATTTTATCTACTCCATGTCTGAGACGGCTTCTCAATTAAACAAGTTACTTCATAAGGCGGAAATTCAGAAACGAAAAAAACAAAACAATATATATATATATATATATATATATATATATTAGTTAAACGCGTGAAACTGCTTGAAACACACCATTTCAGAACGAGTTCCAGAGTTCCTGGCGCAGTACCCAGCGTGCCGAGCAAGTGCCCAGACAGCACCCACCCATAACGTGTTCAAACTTACGGTTAATTACGACTGCATATTTCGTATTTTAGTAATGTTTTTATTGCTCCAAATAACGTTTTCATTAAGAAATGTTTTGATTTTACAATAATAAAATTTCGTGTTTTAGTGCAAAGGTGGCGCTGTGGTCGAGTACGGGCCAGAACACATCCCGGATCCCGGATGTGAGGGCCGTTGGGTTTCTGTGTGTCCTTGTCAGGGAGCTGTCAAACGTTTTCCCTGCTTTGTTTTCGGCCGTGTTCCTTGCTACGTTTTCGACGTTCACGCTGCGACCCGTCATCTGCGTGAGTATGCACATAATTTTTAATATGTTGCATGTTTACACTTTGGGTAAAGCGTTACCTCGTGCGTTTCAACAATAGTTCTTAATATGTTGCAGGTTTACACTTTTGGTTAAGCCTTACCTCGTGCGTTTCAACGAGCGGAAAGCCGCGCCGTGCTTAGGGTCGGAGCAATATAAGCGCGGCCCCGAATGGCTCCAGGCTTTGACAGTTGCTCCTCTGCACGGGATTTTGTACAGCCAATGTTTTAACTTGTGCGACGAGGTCGCGCTTGAGGGGAGACGCGGGTCTTCAAATACCAAAAAATCGCAAAAAATGCCATTTTTCAAAATTCACGATTTTGAGGTCTATATAGTCCAGAGTTTGTCCTCACAAAATATAAATGCTCAATTCAATCTCTAAATAGGAAAATAATGACAATTTGTAAGCGTTGACAGACCCGACTTGAAGCCTAAATTCTGAAATGTCAACAAAGTTCAAGCCGTCTGAGCTCTGCAACGGCTCAACCGATTGCAGCCATCTTGGTCTTGTTCGAACCCATACAAAAATGGTCTATGGTCGGCTATAGAAAATCCTTTGTATGGCCGGCTATAGAAAATTGGCCCAATTAGCTATAGCCGCTTCTATGGCTGTCTATAGCTTTTCCTATGGTCTACCCTATGGTTGTTTATAGCTTTTTCAATAGAAATTTGGCTATCGAATTTCGTATGGTTTAATCTATGGGTCTCTTTAGAAAAGATGCTATAGCCGCCTATGGCTTTTCTTTTGGTTCCTTTGGCCGTCTATAGCTTCTTGTAAGGTCTTCTATAGAGATCTCTATGGCTTACTTTATGGTTCGCTTTAGACACCGTGCTATAGCTACCTATGGCTTTTCTTTTGGTTCCTTTGGCCGTCTATAGCTTCTTGTAAGGTCTTCTATAGAGATCTCTATGGCTTACTTTATGGTTCGCTTTAGACACCGTGCTATAGCTGCCTATGGCTTTTCTTTTGGTTCCTTTGGCCGTCTATAGCTTCTTGTAAGGTCTTCTATAGAGATCTCTATGGCTTACTTTATGGTTCGCTTTAGACACCGTGCTATAGCTGCCTATGGCTTTTCTTTTGGTTCCTTTGGCCGTCTATAGCTTCTTGTAAGGTCTTCTATAGAGATCTCTATGGCTTACTTTATGGTTCGCTTTAGACACCGTGCTGTAGTTGCCTATGGCTTTTCTTTTGGTTCCTTTGGCCGTCTATAGCTTCTTGTAAGGTCTTCTATAGAGATCTCTATGGCTTACTTTATGGTTCGCTTTAGACACCGTGCTATAGCTGCCTATGGCTTTTCTTTTGGTTCCTTTGGCCGTCTATAGCTTCTTGTAAGGTCTTCTATAGAGATCTCTATGGCTTACTTTATGGTTCGCTTTAGACACCATGCTATAGCTGCCTATGGCTTTTCTTTTGGTTCCTTTGGCCGTCTATAGCTTCTTGTAAGGTCTTCTATAGAGATCTCTATGGCTTACTTTATGGTTCGCTTTAGACACCGTGCTATAGCTGCCTATGGCTTTTCTTTTGGTTCCTTTGGCCGTCTATAGCTTCTTGTAAGGTCTTCTATAGAGATCTCTATGGCTTACTTTATGGTTCGCTTTAGACACCGTGCTATAGCTGCCGATGGCTTTTCCTGTGCTTTCTTTAGCCGCCTATTGCTCTTTGTATGGTTTGCTATAGCTCATTCTATAGTTCGTCCTATGGTTCCTTCTACCCATCGTGCTACGGCCGCCTATAGCTTCTTGCATGGTCTGCTATAGAGATCTCTATGGCTTACCTTATGGATCTTTTTAGACACCGTGCTATAGCTGCTTATGGCTTTTCCTATAGTTTTTTTAGCCGCCTATGGCTCTTTGCATGGTCCGCTATAGCTCATTCTATAGCTCGTCTTATGAGTCTCTTTGCCATCGTGCCAAAGCTGCCTGTAGTTTTTCTTTTTACCGCAATCGTATGAAATGTGAAACAAATCATTTGTTGTCACTGGACATCTTTAAAAAAAAACCTTGTGAGACGTGCCGAACTTCATAGCCCCATTTAAAACAAATAGCTAACATTTCAACAAAACAACAACAAAAAACAAATGCACTCACTCAGGTGTTTGCAAAAGCACAGGTAAACAGACACAAGGTATTGTTTTCAAATCTCCTAGAAGTTTATTACACACAGCCCATTCTGTAGACAAGCACACATTAAGCAATCTCTACTATGTGAAGAGGTACTTGAGCTGTTATACAACTGAGAATATTGCAAAGCAAACAAGAACCAAAGGCAATTCCTGGGTAGTGTCTAGTCCCCCGGCAGCCGGCCGAATTCTCCCCCCCCCCCCCTTCCCCCCGAAATTCTAATGCCAGTCGCCACTCATTGGCGCTGCAATCAGTTTATCAAACGACGTTTCATCGAGATCGTTTCATCAACACGTGACGTTTATAAACAACTCAAAATATGTCTTTTTTTTTTAATAATTTGCCAAGAAGTGGCGTGAACAGGTGGGCTGAGTCGGTGAGCACGCGCTTCAGGAATACAGGCGCGACGAAATGTCCCTGCAGCGTGCAATTCGCGTAACGAGTGCCGACTAAACGTGTGTCCATGAAACGTCTTTCCACGCAAAGGTGTCCATGAAACGTCTTTTCACAAAACGCTGGGAGAATAAGAATGTCAGTATCCTAACTACAATTTTCACATGATTTCAGAGAGCTAATGGCAGGCGACTGCGTTAGAATTACGGGGAAATTATTCTCCCAGCTGTCAGAAGATAGGCACTGCCAGGAGATAGACACTACAGAACGGTCAATTGTCGCCAAGTAGGTTGCAGCGCACTTACGTTCAAAATACCGGACTTGAAAGATGTAATCCGAAATATACGTCGACACGGGCACTGCAGACCAACCACTCAAACACAAAACCGAGAAGGAAGGGATCCATGAAGATTCACCACGATGTAGCACAAGCTGTCATTTGCCGAACCGAACACTGAAAGCATCACAAGAATGTCTTGGGCTTCCTTGAAGAAATC